TCTGTCGCGAGTACCACATATCCTGAACAGGAAATTAAAGCGTTTAAGAATAAGAAATCGAAAGGTTTTCTCTGACCTGAACTTTGAATTTGTAAGAAATTTTCTCCTGTACACAATTTTCCATATTTATCCGGAATACAAAGATTTCGCAACGATGTTGGTGTCGATGGTTCATTTTTATTTCCTTTATGTCGATATAATGTAGACCTAAGACTTTCAAAACTGGGTATTGCAGCTGCTATTTGTGGATCAGTAACAACTTGACTAGATGCTTGAAAAGCAGCGTATGGAAGTTGACGCCCACATCTTTTTCTCATATCAACAACAACTTTTTCAACAGCAAGTCTTTCTGGATCTGGACCGTGCGAATGTGAAGTTTCTTTAAGAAGATGTGCGTTTTATAGATTTAAGCTTCTTTTCAGTATAATAAGAGTTACTTACTCAAATCTGGTTTTGTATAATCTTTAAGACTGTTAAGACGACCAGGACAACCATATTCCCCACATTTCCATGAGATCGATTCTGTTTGATGGCGTTCAATTCTATACCTATATCCTAAGAAAATATATCAGTAACTGATAGTGGTATGTACATCATATCATCGATAGGTTGTAATGAAACACAAATCTTACTTTATCATCTTAGATCCGATTGCATTTCGAGCGCTTAGCATTATATTAGTATATTTTAAAGAAGTTCGTAAACTTTATATTTTCATCAAATGTTCATCTTGTATATATTCAGGGAGGGGAGTACCCACTGTAAACTTATTTCGTACTGCACCAACTTCGCGAACTAAAATTACATTAATTATAGAAGACCCATTCCCATTTTTTATGGTAGTTTAAAGTACACAAGTTGCACACGAAACTGATCTATATTTTAGAAAAGGACCCCTTTTAGTCTTTGAGAACTCTCCTCTCTGAATATATACAAGATGAACATTTGATGAAAATATAAAGTTTGTCCCTTTTTGATTCTATTCTTTAAACAGAAAAATGTCTGTTAAAAAGACGAACACATTGGAGTATATATATGCTGATGTATGTATTCACAACACAATCAAAGGAACCGAAATTATATAAAATAAAATAAATTATAATTTAGATTTTGACATGCTCCCTAATCAATATAAAGAATTACTAAATAAAAAATGCAGTCGAATAAGGACAAAATTTAATAAAAGTATTAAATTGTTTTCTTGCGTTGCAAAGTAATCGAGATTGAAGCTTCGCAGTATTTCTTCTATA